GTTTAGACGATGGCTCACATGTTGTAAAAAATGCTGAACCTTAGGGCCAAGCCCTGGCGGCAAAATCCTTAGGCTACAGGGCCCGGCAAGAGCCATGGAGGCGAAAGCGGATGCTTCAAAGCTTTAAAAGATCTTTGTCCCAATCCCAAGCTGCACGTTGAGAGATCCTTGAGCTAGAGGATGTACTATATTCAAACAACTAATTTACAATTTACATTGTAACGCGTTATCAGTAACTGCCATTTTCTTTCAAGAACAAGGTCATGAAAGGTTCATACTGGAAATATGCTATTCCATTTATTCTTCTTCCAACTTTGGAACCTTCGGGAATCTGAACCCCAAATCCTACTCGGCTTAGGGTTGAATCCATGTGAGCCCCAACTAGCACTGCGCAAAGAAGAAAGTGGTAGTAGTACACGTCATGTTGCTCACGGTGGGAACTACATGAACACTCTGAAGAATCAACGTAAGACCTAGATGACAAAGTCTCACACAAAAAAAGGTTCTTAGAGGGAATAAAGGAATATAATCACTATACAATCCCTATATACTAGATGCCTCAGTAAGAAGTAATTGTCCGCCTACGCCGTCCACCCACGCTCAACGCTAAGCCCTAAAACCCTAAGGCCAGCCACAGGGGATGACGGTAATTTTTGGTTGGGCCGCTATGTATTCCCATTATGCCCCTTGTACTGGGCGAGGGCCTACTCCAGTTTAGGGTCTAAGGTTTAGGGTATACGGTTCCTCAGTGTAGAGGCTCCCAACAGAGAGACCCCAAATCTGAAAAAAAACTCAGAAGGAACACACCGCCAACCTTGCCTACAGGAACGCATAATTAGCGGTGCGAATTATTGGAATAATATACCATAACATAATATAATATTATATAATATACTATCATGTACCATAATGTACTATAATATACTATATACTACAATGATTTGAAAACAGCTCGCTGGATTTCCACTCAACTCGAGGGCTCTTGCTAGAACTAATATGAGCAAGAGTCTAAACTCCTTAAAGGGGGCTCTATAGGGGATTATATAGGGGACTACTATAAGGCTTATGAAGAGGGATACTAGGAGTTTAGACAATGGCTCATATAGCCCTTCTAGAATTATCCTTTTATGCCCCCGCATAGAACCATGTAGTCATCATATTACCATCCCCTCCCCCCCCAAGAACCCACAGGGGAGCCCACTTAGGATCCCTCCTGAAGCCCCTGAACCAACCCTAAAGTTATCAATGCTGGATCCTAATTAAGCCTTAGAGGCTCAAACTCTAGGCTTAGGGTTTGGGGTTTAGGGTTTGGGGTTTAGGGTTTGGGGTTTGAGGTTTAGGGTTTAGGGTTTGGGGTTCAGGGTTAAGGGCTTGGGGTTCAGGGTTTGGGGTTTAGGGTTTAAGGTTTAGGCCCTCAAACCCAGCCAGTGGCAACCCCAAAGCCTAAACCCCTGAAACCCTGACCCCTAAATTCCTACATCTCCCTGTGTAACCCTATATGAGCTATAGTCCAAACTCCCACTATCCCCCTTACCAACCCCTATATAGTAGTTCCCTATAGAATTGCTTCTATCACCCCCCTTTAAGGAGTTTAGACCCTATATATCCTAAACCTAAACCCTAAATGATCCCCTCTTATGGCTCATATAGCCACTATTTCGAATTTCAGGAAGCTACTGGCAGACTCCCTTGCGGCCTGTTCGAGCTCCGCGTTGTTCCGCACCTTCTCCTGCTACTTTCTTTACGGAAGCGAGGGTGTATGGGGGCAGGGTTTACGGCTTAGGGGTTAGATTTAAAGTTTAAGGTTTAAAGTTTAGGGTTTAGTTTAGAATAGCGGGTATATTGCGCGAGGGGGATGGAGGGAGCAAAGAGGGCATCTAGGGGGTAGGTGTAGGGTTTAGGGTTTCCTTCTTCAGGGGTTCTAAAGGAAAAGGGGTGACATTATGTTTTTTTCAGAAAAGGTGTTGTAAAGGGGTGTTCTAAGGGTTTATCGGATTTAGGCTTGGATTGTAGCTTTCAGGATTTAGAGCTTTCTAGGGGTGATCTACGGTTATATACGGCATAGAAATACTTGCATTGTGGTTTTCGGGTTTAGGGCTTTGGGTTTCAAGCTTAGGGAGACCAATAGTACAGTTCAAGTGGAGAACACCAGGGTTCATGCCCTAAACCCTGAACCCTAAACCGTAAACTGCCCCATAACGTCAGGACTGTCAAGGGTTAGGGTCAGGGGTTCAAGTTGAACTTCCTATTGATGCCAGGTATTTTCGACCCCTCAACCCCAAGTATATCAGCCACCGTCTAGACTCCTAGTATCCCCCTTAATTACCCCTCCCGATGATACTCCCCTATATACTCCCCTCTTTAATCCTTTATGGACTTTAGACTCTAA